TGGATGGGGCTTGGAGCAACCTGGGATAGTGGGAGGTGTCCCTGCCCATGGCAGGAGGTGGAACTGGATGAGCTTTAATGTCCCTTTCAACCCAAACCATTCTGTTATTCCATGATTCCATGATTTAAAACTCTTAAAGGTGAAAGAAAAGCTGTGTTTTTTTAAAAAGGAGCAAGACAGGCAGGAGGAAGTTACACCCTAAAAATGTTTCACATATTTTCTAAGCACGTGGTGCTGCTCTCACAAAGATAAACTGAAAGCAAATCCCACCCTCCACTGTCTGACAGAGATGCACCAGCACAGAGGACTGAGGAGAGTCCCTGCCCTCCTGCTTCCAGAGGGACAGCTGGTGCCAGATTCCAGCCCCTGGTGCCTGGATGGGATCTCCCAGGTTTTCCCCTCCCTCCAGTTCAGCTGCTGGGAAGAGCAACAACCAGTGCAGATGAGCAGAGATCGTTCTGTCCTTTCAAAACATCAGAATCTGAAGGAGAATAATTTTTTCAAGGAGATATTGGCAGGTTTGGGGAGAATGTCTCCAGGCACAGCTAACACCCCAAAGCAGCCTTAATGTCCTTAATTCCATCACCTGAACACCAGGAAAATCAGACTGTTTGCACAACACAGGGGCAAAACACAAGGTATTATGAGCAGGATATATTGATTTCCCAGCTCACTGGAGACATCAGGAGAGACAGATCACATCAAGCAGGTCTCTGAACTAATTTCATCCCTGTTGTCTCTGCTTCTTTCATGGGTGCCACTGGCAGACAGAACTTCACCTTTTTCATAATTATTTTCATATTTACTTCCATGTGATGAAACTTCCATGCTCTGCTTATTAGATCATCTGCCCCACTGGAGAGCCAGGGATTAATTTTATAAGATGGCTGCACGTTACTGGAAATCAGTTACCTGAACTGGTCTTTTCTGGCCAGAAATGAGTTATTTGCTTCGAAGGAAGTTGTACCTGGCAGTGGCAAAACACCACCCAGCCAAAAAGGAGAGGAAGGGGGGGCTCAGCTTTCCTAAACACAGTTTTGTTTTCACTCGTTTTCTGGGATGACTCCTCCTTTCTCCCGGCCCTCTCCTGGCGCCTTGCGATTACGTCAATTCTCCAGCTGCTCATTCAGAAATTGTCAGGACACAGTTCCTTTTCCCCATTTCATAACAGCTCATTGCCATGGCTCCGAAGCAGGGGTGGAAGCCACGTTCTTCTTTTCCATATGGCGATTCCAAGCGGGAAAGGGGAAGGAGAGCAGAATTTGCATTTGCATTTGTACTGTCAGACAGCATTAAAAAAAAAAAAATTAACATTCTCCAACTGGTCTAGGACTGACTTTTGGCTAAAATTAATTAAATTAAAGCGGCGTATTTCACATTGTACCTGTGTGCAGACTGACAGACGTGTCTAATGTATTTAAGCTCCTAGAGGAGAATAAATCAGGTAAATTCCATGCCACTAATTATGCAACCTTTGGTGAATGCTTGCTGAAGCCTGTTTTTCCTCAGCTATGGAAGAACAGGACACAGAAGTGCTGACTGCTTCCCAGAGAGCCACTAATAAATCAGCCTTGTCCTGAAATGAGCCTGCACAATAAATACATTTCATCCCAGAGGATGAAAGGCAGCCATGTCCCATCATCTGTGCAAACACAGCCTGCCAGACCAGAGCCTGAGAAAGCCAACTTGCCAGCCCTGCTCTCGTGCTTCCTTGGATCCCAGGAGTCTCATCACCTCAGCACTGCCTGTGGAAAGCAGGGTGGGCAGCCTGGGCTCTGATCCCCCTGCTGAAATCATGGAATCCTGGAGTGGTTTGGGTTGGAAGGAACATTAAAGCCCAGCTCATTCCACCCCCTGCCATGGGCAGGGACACCTCCCACTAGCCCAGGTTGCTCCAAGCCCCATCCAACCTGGCCTTGGACACACCCAGGGATCCAGGGGCAGCCACAGCTTCTCTGGGCAACCTGTGCCAGGGCTTCACCACCCTCACAGCCAGGAATTCCTTCCTAATATCCAAACTAATCTCTCCCCTTTTAGCTTAAACCCATTCCCCCTTATCCTACCACTATCTGCCCATGAAAAAGTCGCCCTCCCTCCTTTCAATAAGCCACCTCTCAGCACTGGAAGGCCACAGTGAGGTCTCCCTGGAGCCTTCTCTTCTCCAGCTGAACAACCCCAGCTCAGATGTCACCCACACAAGCACACAGATGTCGTGCAGTGCTGTATTCTGAGGGTATTCAAACCAAGTTACCACACTGAAAAACACAATACACCAAGGGGAGAAAATAGAGGCTTGATGGGAATCTTTAACTTGTTGTTATTTCCTTGGAATAGAGTATCCCTGTATCGACTGTGTCAGGCTGCTTATCAGCAGCTCTCCAGGGATTAGTTTGATCAGCAGTGATATCCCTGTGGGTCCCTTCTGCAGCTGCCTTTTACACCACTCACATATCACAGTGCCACCAAGCACACCACGAGCCAAGCCCTGAACAGAGCTTACAGTCAGCCCCCATCCCTCTCCAGAGAGCTTCAGCTTCCAGGAAGCTTATCTGCCCTCCACAACGGCTCTGGCAAAGCCACACATCCCTCTCCAAGCTGTTGTCCCCCTTGCACTGATCACATTCAGCGTGGCTGCCGCTGGGACATGAGTTCTGCTCCCTCTATTCATGCTGAATTCATGTGCCACATGACAGGCAGTGATGATCAGCAGGGCTCTGGGGAGGCCGGGAGAGGCGGCAGCGCTCTGAGCATGCACCAGGAATCCTCTCCTCCTCTCCCAGACAGGCTGGCGCAGAGATCTGCTTCTCATCCAGCTAACGAGGGGAAAATGGGAAATAAAGCATGGAAGCAGCTCACACACACTGCCAGGGCAGAGGGGGTGTTGTTCAGCAACGACCTGTGTCGATCCTGCACAAAGGATGCACGCAGGGCAGGGCTGCATCCCGAGGCACCGAGCCTGGCCTGGCTATGAGTTGGCAAATTCCCTCAGCACGGGGCTGCCATGAGGTGTCTAGACTGAGGTGCTCCTGGGAGACTGTCTTTGAGAGGATGGAGCAGGAACCATGGCTGGGCAAAGCCCTCTCTCACACCCATCCGTGCTCTGCAGTCCTGCCCAACTGTGCTCCCCAAGGGTTCCAGGCCAGCAGGACAGAAAGGCTCCCAAGTTGGTTTTCACCACACACACACCTGCTTTCTATATCACCACCCCTTTTCATATCATGGAATTCTGGAATGGTTTGGGTTGGAAGGGATCTTAAAACTCACTTTGGTCCAGCCCCCCCTGACATGGGCAGGGACACCTTCCACTAGACCAGGTTGCTCCAAGCCCTGTCCAACCTGGCCTTGGACACTTCCAGGGATGGGGCAGCCACAGCTTCTCTGGGCAACCTCTGCCAGGGCCTCACCACCCTCACAGGGAAGAATTTTTCCCCAGTATTCCACCCAACCCTGCCCTCTCTCAGTGTAAAGCCATTCCCCCCTGGCCTGGCACTCCAGGCCATTGTAAATAGTCTCTCTCCATGCAACTCCTGCATCCAGGTCACTGCTGGCCACACAACCCTCCCTCCACCCTGCTCACACCTCTGCTGGGATTTTTTCAGCCCCATGGATTCAGAGGATCCCAGATCGAGCAGGGAAAGCCCCAGGTGTTGCCCATTCACTAACCAGAGCCACCTGAAGTGACACATTCACCTCCATCAGGACTCCTGCTGTCCCCTTACATCAGGGGCTGGTGGTCTGGGAAATGCAGCAGGGAATGGGAAGGCAGAGCCAGACCTTTTTGTGCCCTATTTGGAAATCAATTGCACCTTCCCAGACTGGAAGTACAGATGTAATTCCAGCTCTGCCAGGAACCTGTGGAAATGATGGGTCAGTGACAGAGCCCGGGATAAAGATCTGCACCCAGGGAGCTGCAGGGCACTGCTGATAAACAGGTGAAGAAAACTGTCCTGGAAAAAATGAGCCCTGTCCTTCAATAATCAAGAATGGCAGGTAAACTGGAATGGGCTGCCCAGGGAGGTGCTGGAGTTGCTGTCCTTGGAGGTATTCAAGGAAAGGCTGGATGTGGCACTTAGTGCCATGGTCTAGTTGACAAGGTGGTGACCGGTCACAGGCTGGACTCCACGATCTCAGAGGTCTTTTCCAACATAACTGATTCTGTGATTGTCAGAGGCCACACTTGGCAGGCTCCCTTTGAGATCCCAAACTGTCCTCTCCAAAGTCAGGGCAAACTCCCACACCCCAACAGCACAGCAGAACTAACACCCCTGCCCAATCCAACCTGCACTCCCACGTTCTCCTGGTGAGCATCCCGCTCCTCTGCGCCCCAGGATTGTTGGAGTAGGAGCTGAACGGAGTGGCTGCTGCTGCCAGGCTTCATACTCACCCCCTGCTTTTTTTGGAGCAGTGGCAGGACGTGGAGTGCTCCTCCTTCCTGCCAGCCCTGAGTCACCCAGCTGGCAGCACCTCTGCTCCAGCGTGGCCAGCTCAGCCCCTTCTCCCTCTGGCAGAGGGAACAAGGAGACGAATGATCCTGCTGATAACATGAGTGGTTTGGGACCTTCCCGGCGTGAACGCTGACAGAAACAAGAGCTTGGATGATCACCAGCCACCAAATCTGTCTGTTACAACACCTCAAATGCCAAAGTCCAACGTGAAGCTTTTTAATGACAACACCTACTACCACTCACTTGCAGCTCCAGTGCTCAGCTGGCTCTGAAGCAACAGCAATTCCTACTGCTGTGGAATTCCCAGGCTGAGCTCCTTATTAGCAAGCTTTAGAGACACAAGAACACAGCCACCTTGGGAGTGAAGCAAATTAGAGACCAGCTCGTTCCAACCCCCTGCCATGGGCAGAGACACCTTCCACTAGACCAGGCTGCTCTAAGACCTGTCCAACCTGACCAGGAACACTTCCAGGAATACACCTCCAAAACTCCTGCTTCACCCCTAGCACACATTTTCTGCATGCTCCTTCATCTGCTCTGTTTGTCAGCAACAGCCTCCCTTCATCTCCACCACCAGTGCTGGATTTAGTAATTTCTGACGCGAAATTATTTTTACCCTTTTGTTGCTAAAATTGCCTGGAAATTAAAGTTTGGTAAACATGCCACAAAATCCTAGGATACAGCATTAAAAGCAATTACGGTCTGGAGAAAACATTTATGTATATAGAGAGCTTTAAATACTTGATATATACTTTGTGGGCTTGGCAGAGTTCAGCCCCTTCTCCAGAGCCTCCACCTCATTTGGGAAATTCACGTTCAGTTCCTTTCCTTCTGTAACATTCCATTTTCCTTCAGCTGATGGCAAGGGGGAACATTTCTGGCAGGAACAAGGGAACTGGGGGTCTCTCTGGATTGAAGTGACTTCCAGAAATGATCCACCTCATGCCTCCCAGAGCCCATCCCAGACTCCTTCTCCCTCTGGAGAAGGTTCCAGTCAGTGATCCAGGGGAGTTAATATAAATCCCTCTGCCCCTGAATATCACTCAGGCCCTAAACAATATTTCCATGTGCTGCTTCTCATCCATGGGCTTAGCAGGGAAAATGCAGCAAGACACAACCAACTCCAGGGTTAGATGGGATATTGGGAAGGAATTCCTGGCTGGGAGGGTGGGGAGGCCCTGGCACAGGTTGCCCAGAGAAACTGTGGCTGCCTCTGGATCCCTGGAAGTGTTCCAGGCCAGGTTGGATGGGGCTTTGGAGCAACCTGGGCTAGTGGGAGGTGTCCCTTCCTATGGCAGGGGGGTTGGAACGAGATGACATTTAGAGGCCCCTTCCAACCCAAACCATTCCACATGATTCTATGATCATATTTATGTTGTAACGTTGTCTTGTCTCTTCTTTCAAGTCCCAGCACTTCATTTTTTCCCCCTCATTTACAAGCCAGACATTTAGCTGTGAATATTTCTGGCTTTTTGTGTAAAGGCCCCTCTGTCTGAAACATCTCAGCTTTCACTTGTCAGGTTCCCAGCACTCGGACTCACAAAGAAACGCCAGGAAGTGGAATCTGAAAATCCACCATAAAAGGTCAGAAATCAAATAACAAACAGAAAGGAAAAACAACCTACCAAAATCATCCTTTTCTTCCCAGTTTAACCCATTGCTGTGCAGTCCAAGTGTGTGGCAGGGATGATCTCGGCCTGGCCTGTGCTGGAAACAAGCCCCTTCTCCTCAAAACAGTTCCTGGCCTTTCCTGGCTCCCGTTAGGAGCTCTCATAAATCTCCTAGCCAGCTTGAAAACCCCCACCACGAAGTATCTATAACCTCTGAAATCCCTTTTATGGTTTTACAACTGAATTCTTGATGGGTGGGTCATTCCAATTGCAACACGGGCCACGACGGGGAACATGAGATTTCACACAATTTGTTCCAGTCTGTGCTGTTTAAAGGAGCAACTGGGAGAGGGGATCTCTAATGGTTTTACTGGATTGGGGGGAGCAGGCTGTTGAGCATCAGCAACTGCCAAGCACAAACAATTTCAGGAAAGAAAATCAGTGTAATCCACTACAAACCCTCCCTGAGCTGGCTGGACTTCACCATGCCAAGCAGGATTTCAACCAACATTCCTTATTTTGGGAAAAGCAGGGTCCCCTACTCACAGTGATTTTTTTATCATCTTCAGCTGCCTCAACCATTCAACTGGCAGCAGTTGTGAGGTCTGGGCACCACTTAGCAACGTTCAGGAAGAGCCTTAAATGAGGCATAGCCTTATGCTGACCTTTAGCCCGAGGCTAAATCCTGCTCTGGGTGCATCACACCCCACCACATGAGCTCCCAGGGATGTGACAGCGAGCCAGCTTTGACCGGGGGCAACACCCCCCACTCGCTCACCCCAACCTGCTCTGTGAGCTTTTAAAAAAGCTCAGTTATTTTCATGAAACAAAGGAGGGGTTGCACCAAGCAGCTGCCTGTTTCCAGGCCTGAGTAACTGGGACAAAGTTTGATCCGTTTCAAAATAGCGCTAATTTTTTTAATGACCCATAAGCCCATTTTTAGAACAAAGCAAGGACTTTCTCCTTTCCTCCTCAGCTTCAGGAAAAGCCTGAGCCTCCTCCTTCGCCAGCTGAAAAATGAAGCAGAGGAATAATCACCCCATGGACTGATGTCACCGGACAATGCTGCAGTCACTGGATGTAAACACAGCGTTCAGGGCAATGAGGTTTTGTTGTATAAATAGAATAAATAAATCTATTAGAGGTGGAGTTTGTTTGGGTTTTTTTCCCCTCGTAAAAAATAGAGGCATTTTGCTCTCTTAATTTCTTACTTGCAGTGTCAACCAGCCCGGCAAAGCGCCAGAAAATCCTCTAGGAACAGGTAAACGTCTGTGGGATGTAGGGTATGACTCTGAGCTGTGGGGAAGGCAGCTGATCCCACAGAGATCCAGCTTGGATCCGTGGATGCTTCCAGATTCTTGTAGAGAATCTAAGGGGAGAGTTCACCAACTCAGTGACACATCACATTTCACTGGAGTGGGGCTCAGCAGCACAGGCTGAGGGATGTGCCCAATTGCCTTGCTGGACCAAGGCTGTACTTCCCAAGACGATGTTTTCCACGCTTACATCCCTTCCGGCATCATTTGCATTCCCTTCTCCTGCCATCGGGACCTGAAGGGAAAGCACCAGCGCGTGGACGTGTGTGCAATTCCCAACGCGCGCGGGGCTGACACGTCTGTCACACGCTCTGTGAGACAAAGCTGAGAACGGCAGCACATTCCCTGGCAAGTTTTCCCTCCGGTCTACCCGAGGATCTGACGACCCTCGTTAAGTCACAGTCAAACACGGCACCGATCAAATGAGCTTTGCTAATTTTCCACCCCTCTCCCTCCCAAAAAAAGCCCCCCTGCCCGCTCCGCTGGCTCGGATCACACACTCCGTTATCCCAGCATTTCCTGGAGCTTGTCTCTGAACTGTTAATCATTACCATGGGAAATCCTACACTCATCTACACAAATTAGGATGTAATTTGTGTATCTAAACATCACAGTTCAGCTCACCCCGCTCCGCCTGAGGAGCCAGGATACCTGGAGCAGCGGTGAGCGAGCTCACACGGAATATGACTCCGGAGGAAATGGCAAATTACTCTCCCCAGCAGCCTCAAATAACGGAAAATGGCTGGATAAAACCTGATTTCCTACGGAACAGCGTGGCAGGCGGAGGAGCCCCTCGCTGGGTGCAGCCCACCTGTGGGACCAGCTTTGGCTCCAGTGGGAAGCAGCAGCCGCTGGAGGATCCAGGCGGCTCCAGAGGGAACTGAAGCCTTGCAGGAAGACGCCACAGAACTTCCTCCTCCCTCGTCACCCTGCTCGGCTCCCCGGCGATGCTGCCCCCCAAATCCCCCGGCCTCGGGGAGGGTTGTGTGGGGATGGGTTTAAAATGGCCCCTTCCCTGGAAGGTGTGACACGACAACAAAGCCCTACGGCTCCCAGAAATGGGAAAAACCCTCCGGAGGGGTGAGCTGCCGGGGAAGGCCAGTGGCTCTGACTGAGGAAAGTGGGGTGAGCAGGATTCCTGCCCCTGGACGAGGTGGGATGTGGGTGAGGGGGGGTCTCTGCTCCTGGATGAGGTAGGATGGGAGTGAGCGGGATTCCCTGTTCCTGGATGAGGTGGGGTGGGGGTGAGGGGAATCCTGCCCCTGGATGAGGTGGAGTGAGGGTAAGTGGGACACCTGGATGAGATGGGTTGGAGGTGAGGGAAATCCTGCCCCTTGGATGGGGCAGGATGGGGGTGAGCGGGATTCCCTGTTCCTGGGTGAGATGGGGTGGGGTGAGCAGGATCCCTGCTCCTGGACGAGGTGGGCTGGGAGTAGGGGGGATTCCTGCTCCCGGGTGACGTGGGGTGGTGGCTGAGGTGACATCTCCCCTCCGGGACCGAGGGGACACCAGGGACAGGGCGAGGGGTGTCCGGGCAGGCTGAGGAGAGCCGGGGCAGCCGGCGGGGTCTCCCCGGGGATCTGCCGCGCGGTGGCGCGGGGCCGTGACTAAGCCCGGAGCCGGGGACACCCCCCCGGCCCGCGCCCCAGCAGTAAGGCCATGCGGAACGGCGGGGCCACCCCCTATCCGCGCATGCCCCCGTTACCCGCATCCCTTAGCCGCCTGCGGCCCGCGGGCGGGACGGGCTGGACCCCCCGCCGCGCAGGAGAAGGAGGACTGCCCCGATTCTCCGTGTGCCCCATCATGAGGGATCCCGCCCCGGGCCGAATCCCCGCCTCCGGCCCGGCCTAGCCCCCCGCCCGCGCGGTGACCCCCCGGTCAGCCCCGCCCAGCGCGCGGGGCCGCCGACCCGCCGCAAGGCCCGGCTTGTCCGCCACCAGCTGCCCACACGACCGACACATCGCCTCCTACCTCCAGCTGCTCCTGTCCGGCGGTTGCGGCGCCAGGCGGCGGCTGCGGGAGGAGGCTGCCGTGTCGTCGCCTCTCGACCGCGCTGCGTCTGGCCGGGGCTGCGGCGGCGGCGGGGGCGCTGGGGAGCCGGCGGGAGCCAGCACTCATCCCCGCCCGCCGCAACGGCCCGGCCACGGCCCCCGGGCAGCGGCGGCACGCGCTCTGGGGGGCACACACAGAGACACAGACACACACAGAGACACAGACACACACAGACACACACACACACAGACACACACAGACACATAGACACACACAGACACAGACACACACAGACACACACACACACAGCGGGGTCCCCGCCGCACCCCCCTGGGCACCCACCCACCCGCGGCGGAGGTGATGGATGGGGGGGCTCCGGCACGGACAGGAGGGTCCCAAATCCAGGTCACTTCTGGCAGCAGGGCACTGGGATCGTGGGGTCATTCACACCCGGGGGGCGTTGACACCTTGGGGGCACTGGGCACACTCTCAAGGGTACCCATCCGTAGGGGGCCATGGGTGAGGGACTCAGCACAGGCAGGATGGTCCCACATCCAGGTCACTCCTGGCAGGAGGGCACTGGGATTATGGGGGCACCTACATGTGAGGAATCCACACCTCAGGGAGGACTAGGCACCCCCGTGGGCACCCACTCACAGGGGAGATGGATGGGGGCCTCAGCACAGACAGGATGCACCCACATCCAGGTCCCCCCTGCTAGGGCACTGGGATCATGGGGAGCATCCACACCTGGAGGCATCCACACCTCAGGGAGGACTGGGCACCCCCGTGGGCACCCAGGTGCTGGAGGCATCCCTGTCTGGGGAACCAGGCTTGTTTGAGGTACTGGGCACTCACCCACAGGGCTCCGTGGATGGGGGACCCAGCACAGACAGGATGCTCCCACATCCAGGTCACCCTTGCCAGGGCACTGGGATTACGGGGAGCATCCACACCTGGGGGTGACTGGGCACCCCCACGGGCACCCAGATGCTGGAGGCATCCCTGTCTGGGGAACCAGGCTTGTTTGGGGTACTGGGCACCCACCCACAGAGGTCTGTGGATGGGGGACCCAGCACAGACAGGATGCTCCCACACCTGCCAGGGCACTGGGATCATGGGGGTGCCCACCAGGTTGCTTCAAACCCCTCCCAGCCTGGCCTGAGATACACTTCCAGGGATGGGGCAGCCACAGCTTCTCTGGGCAACCTGTGCCAGGGCCTGCCCACCCTCACAGCCAGGAATTCCTTCCCAATATCCCACCTAACCCCGCCTTCTGGCAGTGGAAAGCCTTTCCCCCTCATCTTGGCACTCCAGGCCCTTGTCCCAAGTCCCTCTCCAGCTCTCCTGGAGCCCCTTTAGGCACTGGAAGGGGTTCTAAAGTCTCCCCAGTGCCTTTACTTCTCCAGGCTAAACACCTCCAGCTCTCCCAGTGTGGCTCCAGAGCCGAGGGGCTCCAGGCCTCAGAGCATTTCTGTGGCCTCCTCTGGACTCGCTCCAGCAGCTCCACATCCTCATTATGTTGGGAGCCCCAGAGCTGGACACAGAACTCCAGGTGGGTTCTCTCACAAGAGCAGAGTAGAGGGGAATAATCCCCTCCCACACCACTGGGGATGTAGCCCAGGGTGTGTTTGGCTTTCTGGGCAATGCCAGCCACAGGGAGTTTGCTCATTCCCACCCTCTCCATGTGGACCACGCTCATCCTCACCCAGGGTTTGCCCACACTTGTGATTCCAACAAGCTGCTGGAGTCGACCTGTCTCTGAAGCCACATCCCAGTGCTGCCCTTTGGAAGATGCACAGCACAGTGCTCAAGGAACAACCCATTAAACTGGAAATGTGGTGGTCACCAGAGGGAACTGAGCCCCAGACTGTATCTGCAAGAGCAGATTTTGGGAGAATGCTTTTCATTTCTGGACTCTGGCCTGCAGCAGTCGGGGAAAGCCGGTGGCCATCCAGCTTTGCTGGAATCACAGGAGCCGGCAGGATCCGCTCTTCATCTTTGACAGCGGGAAAAACATTCAAAAACGAACCAATTTGCTGTTCCAGGCAGCTGATCCCTGCCAAAGCCATGTGTTGTTGTGCTCCCATTGATATGCTGATACCTAATTCCTAAGTGCCTTCTCCAGTAGTCTGTGACTGCCTTCCCGGTTGGCTTCTTCCCTGTGTTTACAGCATCAGGATGAAACACATAATTTTGGCTCATTTTGGCTCGCTGAAGTGCTGGCTCACGTGGGGCAGGGAGCTGGATCCTGCTGGGCACTGTGACCACGAGGAGCTCAGCCTTGCAGAAGCCCCATTAGAATTTTTGTAAATAATCCCCAAAATTGCACATCCCTGTTGCTGCTTCAGTGTAGCAGAGAAGAAATTGGTGTTCTGAGGGGATATTTCTTCTGCTGGACACTCAGAGGGGTTCAGATGGGTTGAAAGAGGAGATGGGAAGAAAAGCAGCTGGGAAATGGAGAGGGGGGAAAAAAAAGGAGGATGGAAAAGGAAATCTGTTAATTTGAAAGTCTAATTAAACTAAGATGGGCTCAGGTCCTGTTTTCCTCATTCCCTTTGAGAATTGCTGCTAAGGTTGAGCTTGTACTGCCCCATTTACTGGCATTTTCTCCTTTTCTCTTGCCATTATGGCACGTGGTGTCCCAATGAAAGAGGAGTGGAGAGGTTTGATCCTGTGCTGTTCGAGAGGGATTGTCTCCATGAACTCCCAAGGCCTTTTCCTGCATTATTTCTTATGATCCCAAGTTGGGGCATTTGCAGATGATTTTGTTTCCCGAGGGTGACTCAGCATTTGTTCATTTTCATCCATCCCTCTGCTCCACCAATTCCTCCTCCCTTTATTTTCCCAGTTGCAAACAGCCCTTCCCAGGAAGCATCTTTCCTTTCTTGCTGCCCGAGCTGCCGGATCACGAAGAGCTGATTCCACAGCAGATGTGCTGAATGGGCACAGAATGGAAGGATTTCTTGAGGAGAAATGACGCTAAATCAAGGCAAAAAGAGAAAACACCACGGAGAGGCAGAGCGGAGCAGGCGGTTCCCGATCCGTGCGACGGGAGATACAGCACTGGGAAGGCCCCAGAATGAGGAGAAAACCTGGAATTTAGTCCCTCATGTGTAGCAGTGGCAGGAGCCGTTTCATAATTTACCTTGATTCGACTGTCCCACTTACCCAGGCGGCTCTTAGAGTTGCTTTTCATGTCCCCGGCCCCTCGTTGTGCAACACTTACGTAAGAGGTGCCAAAGGCTCTGCTCTTGCTCAGGTGCCACCACGGACTTGCTGCTGAGGGAAACGGTGCCATCCACACGGGTTTTCCTCGCCATGACACCGACAAGGCGTTGCCTGAGCCCCTCCAGGTGACAGATCTGTGGTTATCCGAGGATCCTGGAATTGTTCGCTTCCTCCCCGCAGTTTTTGTTATCCCTTCTGCCTTCTCAGCCTTCGCTCCTTCACTGCTTCTTCTTAACTGCATGGGAAAGTCAAAGGAGTCTGTGTGGAGCACTGCAAGGGGATGTCTCCCCAGTAGAGAGAAATTGCCCATTTGTCATTGCTGTTTTTAATTTCTGCACCCTTATTCTTGGGTTAAGAGGCCACAATTCCTAGGAAATACCAAAACAGCTTTTTCCCCGCTCCTGGAGCTAAAGCCTCCCTAACATCTTTCTGTTGTTTTTTTGTTTTTTGTTTTTTTTTTCCCCTTACTGAAATATTTTAAGTGAAGCAGATCTTTGTTGCTTAGGAAATCCTGCTATTCCTGCTGTTCCCATTTCTCACCTCAAGTTGTGCTATGGCCGCCTACATTTACAGGGGCTTTGCAGCCAAAGGAATTATGCTTGCTGCTTCTGTAAACAGGATTGCACACTAGGGCTGCAACAGAGGTATTTCACTGTGGAGGAGACAGAATTCCAGCAGTTAATTAAATTACTTGCTTAATCAGTCACTGGGAAGGCCCTGCCTTCTGGAAGATGCTCTGGAAACTGAAGGAGCTACTTAAGAATAAAAAAAAAAATATGGAGATACAGAGCCATCAGCACAAAATTTCAATCAAACCAAGCCCACAGGCCTGGTTTTACATCAGGGGCTGCCTTTGCACAATCTGTGGTCCTCTTATTTATCTTTATTAGGAAAAGGCTCATTCCCCAGAGAGTGGTTGGCACTGCCCAGGCTCCCCAGGGCAGTGGGCACGGCCCCAAGGCTGCCAGAGCTCCAGGAGGGTTTGGACAACGCTCTCAGGGACAGGGTGGGATTGTTGGGGTGCCCTGGGCAGGGCCAGGAGTGGGACTGGATGATCCTTGTGGGTCCCTTCCAACTCATGATTTTCATTTCAGAGGTCAGTAAGATGTCTCCTAAGCCCAACTTCCCATCTATTTCCGACGCTGTTTTCCATTTGTTCTTTCCTGCACCGACAGGCAGATGGACATTACATTGAAAACATCCTTCCTCACCAGCCTCTTTTCTTTTTTGCAACGTGGCTTTAGTGAGTCCAAGCCAAACCCTGGGCGTGCCAAGTTTGTTTCTAGGATTTCCCCTTGAAGATACACCTCGGCCAGGAAAAGGCTTCCAGCTCCCCTTGGCAGGGCCAACCGAATCCACCTGCCTGGATGATTCAGCAAGATACTTGCAATATGTTCCAGCCAGGTTTGTGCACCTGGAAACGTGGGAAGCAGCCTGGTTTCCAGGCAGTGCTCTGAATGCCCCTTGTTGGTGCTGTTTTTAGTGGAATGGCCACATTTTCCTGCATCCTCGTGCTGAGCTGTTGCTGTTGGTGGAGCTGCTGGGCTTCACCTCTGCCCTCCTGCACGTGCACATGGGAGGGAAGGGCATCCAGCTGGTTTCCTTCCTTTGAATGCAAACAGCACAATCAGCTGCAAAGTCTCCTGAGATACATCTACGTAAACAGGGTGACACAAAAATAATGTATAGCCACAGTGCTCCTCTTCCTTCCGTGAAAAACAAATCCCTGCACAAGGCTCTGAGCTGTGCCTCACTTAATTCTCCTGCTCCTGCAAGGGAGACAAGGCTCCTGACAGCCTGAAAAGGCTTCTCTCTTCCCAGAGCATCTCAGCACAACCACTGGAGAGATCCTCAGTCTATGTTGGACTTTCCCAAGTGAATTCCCAGGCTGGACATAAGAAGCGTCTAACAGGCCTCCTTCTCCTGCCTGAAGCTGTTCCCTTGGCTGTGTTCTCTCCATCCATCTTGCCAAGACCACTCCCTCTTTCTGCTCTTTAGATTTTTCCAGGCATTTTGGTACTTGTCATCTTGTGCCCACAGCAGCTGCCACCCCAACTGTCCCCACAGGGCCATTCCAGCAGCGAGAGGCCATTTGGGACCCCCCAAAGCCTTTCCTATCCCTCTTATTCTAGATCCCAGTAGCAGAGCTCAGCAGGCAGGTAAAGCAGCATTAACAGCACTGAAAGCTGCCCAAGTGATGCCAAGAAGAACTGGACTCAGGAGTGGAAAGGTGCCTGCAGAGATTTGGGAATGGCTCCAGGGCAGGCCCTTCACTTGTGGCAAGACAGGGTGTAGCAACAGTGTGTGTTCCACTGGGGAGGAAAACTAGCCTGAAAAACCCAAACCACAAACTTAGGAAAAAAATACATCTCAAATCATAGGGAAGATGCTGCAGCAGTTTTTGAATACCTTCCGCGTGACACTGTTAGACCACGTGAAATTAAAGATATTTACAAAAACTAGGGGCTGAAGTATCTTTTCCTCATGCTGCCATTTCATACCTCAGTGTTTCTCATTTGCCAATGAAAATGCATCCACATTTTGCTGCTTTTAAAACCACCTTCATGAACATTGTTCAGTTAGAAATTCCTGCATCTCCCGTTACCAGATGAATCTCGGTCAGTGTCTCGTTAAAATAACCTTGGCTGTTCTTCCTCCTAAGACTACAATACAAACAGCTCACATTCTCTAATCCTACGTAATGCCTTATGTAAAACCACTTAACATTCCTTTTAAGGCTGGGACCCATTCAGACAGAAAGATGCTGCATAAAAGCACATTCCGAAACACGCTTGACCAGAAAAGCGACGTGGTCTAGGGCGGAAAATATGGAGCAGGAATCGGTGTTTGTTCAGGAGAACACGCCTGGCAGCAGAGTCCGGCCATGTCTTGCCCTGTGAGCTTTGCACAACTCATTACAATCATTAATTAAATCATTAGGCTGGAAAAGCCCTCTAAGATCGAGGCCAACCCTTAACCCAGCACTGCCAAGGCCACCACTAGCCCATGTCCCCAAGTGCCACATCCACACGGTTTTATTAGATCCCTTCAGGAATGGTGATTCCAACACTGCCGTGGGCAGCCTGTTCCAACGTCTGACCACCCTTTCCATGAAGACATTTTCCCTAATATCCAACCTAAACCTCCCTTGGTGCAACTTGGGGACATTTTCTCCATTTTCCTCGTTTTTTTTCTAATCAAGAAATTGCAGCAGTAATACAGTCCCAGGGCTGGTTTTATCCACGTACACTTCCCAGTAGTGCTTCCAGCAGGGACTGAGACTCAGCTGGGAAAGGTGGACTGGAGCTCAGAACACAAGATGGGCTCTGAGAGCCCACTCTTCACCTCTGGCAATATGGGATGAGAAGCAACACCTCCAGGTGGAAAATGAAACTTAACCCAGCAAGGACAAAATACGGGAGCTTAGACATTAAATTCCAGCCCTCAGATCTGTGAGATGTTGTAGGAGGCCAAGTCTTAATGCACCATCTGCAACTGGAAAATGAAATGTCCTTTTTCCTGTGCTGTCACCCGATGGCTTGTCAAGAGCAGCAAATCAATAGAGTAAAAAGCAGCGTCTGAACCCTCAGCTGAGGAAAGGAAAAGAAAAAGGACGCAAACAGCTCCATATCAGGAGCACAGGAAGCTGATTTATGAGGGGAGAGGTAATTGTTTTGTTAAAAATCACTTGAGGAAATACAGCTCCCTAAAGGGTAAATAGTTTCTTGTTTGTTGGGGGTTCAGGAAAACTTAGGTATTTATGTTGGAGAGAACATACAGGATGTAGAAAGCTTTCAGAGCACAAAGGGAAATTAAATGGGAACCTCTTTAAGAGCAGCCCTGAGCTCCCCTGTCTCTGGGGAGCAGGGCAGGTTACATTTTGGAGCCTGCTCCCGACACACACAGTTTCAAACGAGCCCATAAACAAATCCCAATTTGGGGTTAAAACCCAGACTCCATTTTAAACTGAGGATCAATGCCCAGCTACATTGTCATTAGACTATATTGGACCAGTGTGGGCTTGTGTGGCTGCCAAAAACACAGAAACTCTTCTTAAATAACCATCTTGAGCACCAAAGAGACTCATACATCTGGCATCCATTTGATTTTTTTTTTCTTACCTAACTTCTGCAGACGTATTTCCTGCGCTGAGAACGTGGTAGTTTTTACGCCTAGGAAATCACACCTCCTTTAAGGCCTTAATGATTTTACGTGCAGGGACTGCTACTGCGAATTCCAGCATTCCTCTGCTCCATATCCCCACCTCTGGGTTTCCTGAGAGACCATAGGTGGGTTTTGCTCAGAATTTCGGCCGCTTCGCCGCAAATAATTGTCCTCCAAAGAGGGAAGGGCAGCTACAGAATGCCTTCCACTTCGCAGTTTCACAGAAGCTTTTTTGGCTTTGGGAGCCCAAGGAGGCAAGTCCCAACAGGTCTGAGGTAATTCTGGTGTGACTCTCATTGCACTGGCTGCCCACAGAGCTAAATGCCCTGGGTGCCTGATCAGCCCACGAGAAGGATTACGTGGTGTGGCTGCAAGGCTGCAATCCAGAGCAGTCCTGCATCTTCCTCTTGCACCTCAGAGCCTCTCTGGGAGCATCCCAGCCCCCGGAGCTCTGCTCAGTTTTGCCACGGCAGCTGTGATAATCCCGACCAGGATGTACACAAAGGAACAGCTCTGGTGTGAAAGATGGAAAGCTCAGCCTTGTGTTTGTAGAAACACACATGTGGATATAAATACATATATAATATATAGGTGGCGTAGGCGAGCTGGGGGCTTTCCTCCTGCATCAAATCAAGGGGCACAGGCTAAAGGCCGTGCCTGCCCCCACACTTGTCCCTCCACAATAAAGACCTGTTGGAGCAGGGTCAGAGGAGGCCACGGAGATGCTCTGAGGGCTGGAGCCCCTCTGCTCCGGAGCCAGGCTGGGAGAGCTGGGGGTGTTCACCTGGAGAAGGGAAGGCTCCGGGGAGAGCTGAGAGCCCCTTCCAGGGCCTAAAGGGGCTCCAAGAGGGACTTGAGACAAGGGATAGAGGGACAGGACAAAGGGGAATGGCTTTAAGCTGGAAAAGGAGAGATTTAGGATGTATATTAGGAAGGAATTGTTGGCTGTGAGGGCGGTGAGGCCCTGGCACAGTTTGGCCAGAGAAGCTGTGGCTGCCCCCGGATGCCTGGAAGTGTCCAAAGCCAGGCTGGACGGAGCTTGGAACCACCTGGGAATGGTGGAAAGTGTCCCTGCCCATGGCAGGGGCGTTGGAGGCGGATGATCTTTATACGACCCCTTCCAACTCAAACCATCCTGTCACCGCTCCACGGGCTCCGGACGTGGCGGCGGCACCGGGGCCGCGGGAGGGGGGGGAGCAAGCCGCCCGTAACAGCCCCCCGGCAGCGTCCCGCCTCCCGCGGGCCCGGGCGGGAGGGGAAAGGGCAGGGAAGGGCAGGAAAGGGAAGGAAGGGAGGGAGGGGAGCGGGCCGCCGTGGCCGCGCGGGGCGCTGCGGCGGCGCTGCCGGCCGGCCCCGTCCGACCCGAGCGAAACCCGGCGCGGCTCGGCCGCGGAAGAGAACGCGAAAGGAAGAAAGGAAAAGGCAGGAAGGGAAAAGCAGAAAGGAGGCGGCCGCTCTGCTCCTCCCATCCTTCCCTCCCTCCCTCCCCCCCTCTCCGGCGGGAACAAAGGCTGCGGCTCGCAGTAGGAGCCGGCTCCGGCCTGGCCGCCCCGCGGACGGCCGCAGCCGCACCGCCCGGCCCCGACGCCCCCAACCGCCCCGCCGAGCCCGTCCCCGCCCCGCTCCTCCGCCCCCCCCCCCGCCCCGCCCCCCCCGGGGGGCCGGGGGCCCTTCCCTGCCTTGGCCCCGGGGAGCCCCGGGAGCCGCGGAGGGCGCGGGCCACCCGCCCGCCTTTGTCTCGGCCGGCCGGCCCGGGCCCCGCCCTGACCCCCCCCGCCGGCAGGAGCCATGGGCCGGGTAAGAGCAATCCGGAGGACGCGGCGCTGAACATGGAGCCGGGCGCCTGGGCGAGCGGGACATCCTGAGGCGGAACCCGCAACACGGACGTAACGAGCGATCACCAGCGGGTTCGGGAGCGGCCAACTACGGCGACGTGTACAAGTAGCGGCGGGGGGCCCGCCCTCTGGCAACGCGCCGGGGGCTTCCCGGTTGTCTTAAAAGGATTGGAAGCGAGGGCAATCAAGGTTCCCGGAGAAGCCGCGGCTGCCCCATCCCTGGAAGTGTCCAAGGCCAGACTGGACGGGGCTTGGAGCGCCCTGTGCTAGTGGAAGGTGTCCCTGCCCGTGGCCGGGGGTGGAATGCCATGATCCTTAAGGTCCCTTCCAGCGCAAACCATCCTGGGATTCTGTGATTTGCGCTCGAGGCTTGACTTGGTGAATGTCGCAGGTGATCCTTTCCACGTTACTGCCGGAGGAGGTAGAGGATATCTGCTGCCCGTACCTGTTTTCCAGAACGCATCCTGCTAAAGCACCTGATTAAAAGGGTGCAAGTTTATCCCCGAGGTTAATAATAGCCCGTGAAAGGCAGAAGCAGATTAAAGCTCTTCAGAAGCTGGAACGGAGTTCCAGCACGAGGTAGAGTTAGTGCAGCACGTCAAGTAGATGCTCTTGAAATGGTACATGTGAAAGGTGTCCCTGTCCACGACAGGGGGGTGGAACTGGGTGATCTTTGAGGTCCCTTCCAACCCAAACCATTCTGGGACTCCGTGAATCTGTGTTGCCAGACCCACAGTTATGGGGTACAGGAGGGGTAGGACCGGTGTGTTGCTCTCACACGAGCTCCTTCCCCATCCATCAGGGACCTTCCCTATCCATCAGGGACCTTCCCCATCCATCAGGGACCTTCCCCATCCATCAGGGACGTTCCTCACGCATCGCAGATGCTCGGCAGCTTTTAGGGCTGGGTGGCTTTTAAAGAAAGCCTTGAATCTTCCAGCCTGCCTTTGGCAGCCTGCACGTTCAGCTGCATGGGAAGGGAGGCTGTGTGATGTTTTCCTTTGTAGTGCTGTTGAGTGTGTTTAAAATAGACCTGACACAGCCAAGCGTGCAAGGAAAGGTGTGTTCCTGTGCCACATGAAAGGCAGCGGTAATTGCTCGTGCTGGGGGAGGGCTCTTTGCTAATGTTCAAATTGAAGTTTTATAGATGGATCCTGTTCCCACCACCCCTTTGAAATGGTTACTTATGACCTCGGGGAGTTATTTTTAAAAGTTTTCACGGTGCATATTTACCTTCCTCTTTTACTTTTTTTTTTCCCTCCTACGGTGCTGTGCACAGATCACTCAGCTTCTTTCCCGAGGAATTCCAGCCCTAAATCCTTTAAAAAGAACAATTCAGCTGTCATAAACCTGGAACTCAGCATACCTTGAGCTGCTTTGTTTGTGTGTGCCTGCGTAGTACAGGGCAGCATGACAAGAAACAACCAGGCAGCACGACAAGAAATAACTAGTTGTGTTGCAGGGAAGTATTTTTTTTGTGTCATCTCTTCGTGGAAAAAGAAATATTCTGCTTCTCATTATCCTGGTAATTAGTGGAGAGCTGTGCTGACATGTCATCCAGCTTCCGGTTCCGGAGCTGGTTTGAATTCATGGCTCTGCTCTGTGCCATGTAAACATATCCCCTTTAAACAACAAAAAAAACCACCCCACAACCCTCTTCCCCCCCTCCCTTCCATTCTTTGGGTTATGAAAAATGTGCCTTTTACTCCTGAAACGGTTTCAGATAAGGAATAAACCCAAAACTTCTCCTAGTGCAGCCTGGCAAGTTTAAATCCAGGGTTTTGGCAGTCGTTTTAGACGTTGTTATGAGCCTGAAAGAAGTATAAAGTTAATGAGTTTAAAGTAGTTTGAGAGGCCACATTTGTTTCTAGGTCATTGGTTTGCTCTTTGTTTTTGTAAAGCCCTGCAACAGGGAGGAACTGTATCAAGGGAATACTGAATCAGATGGCACTGCCTCTGATGACAAATATGCACAGCAAACTTATTTTTTAAAGTCGCTGATGTTATGATAATTTTTAAAAGTAAGGTAAACCTTTTTTTTTTCTTGAAAGGACTTAAACGTGTAAACACTGTACTTTTATTTTCCTTAGTCCCTGGTAAGTCTCAGTGCAGATGGCACATCTTGTGCTCGCTGAGTGCTGTCAGCAGTGTTTACAAAATGCATTTATTAGTGACTGCCCAACTGTTTTTATGTTGCAGAGCTCGGGGAAGGTTTGCTAGAGAGTGCTCTTAAATTAACATGGAATTTTCCCCTCACTTCTTCAAGTGGTTTCTCTGCTCCTTTGCTAATAATGAGTCACCAGTGTCTCCAGCACAGTTGTTTTTGGGATGTCTAAGCCGGGCAGCCTCTGACTGTGGGACATCTGCCTCTTCCCCAGATGCTTTCTGGTGGTGGTGGTTCATGCTTCAAATTCTTCTTGGGGCATTTGGTAGCTTTTAGAGTAACTGGCTCTTTTTTGGATGGTGAAGGCGGAGGTTAAGCAAATATTTCTCTTCACTATTAAGTTACAGAAGAATATTTAAGGCTTTTCTAAAATTTTCCTGCCCACTTTGCTTTTCATTACTGCCATGAAAGCTTAAAAGTGAGCTGTGTTTTCTTGGTGTTTGTGGGTTTTATTTCTCTTGTCTGTCACAAGGCACACAATGGTTGATTGTAGGATTGCTGGTAAGTGCTGGATTGTTGATGTTGTTTTAATATTTATCTTTTTTTTTTTCCCCAAAATGCATTTCAGGCTGGGGGAGAAACCATCTGTAAATGAACTCGTCTATTCACAGCATGTGTAAATAGATCCAAGTTTGGGTCTAGCAGTCTTGGAAGTGATTTCCATTACAATCCTAATGTGTTAGTTATCTGTGGTGGGAAAGCTTTTTTCCTTTTTAATAGAGGATATTATTATTAAGCCAATTATGATCCATTGGAATAATTTACCTCTCAAAGCATCATACCAAGCTCTCTTAAATTACTGGCTTTGGAAAGAGGTTCTGATAAGGAAGATTAGGAACTCACTAGAACTTGATAATATGCTGACAGTGTATTTTTGTCCCCACTCTCTCAAATTTAATCTGGCTTTTCTGTTTGCCCACCTTAGTCATAAACATGAAAATCCCAAACCAGTATTTAAAAATGGCATGAAATTTGCTCAGGCATCTGTTTCATGCTGAAATAGATGCTCTGTGTGTGTGTGTGTGTGTGTGTGTGTGTGGTTAATACAGAAACATCCAGCTGATGGGTGTCTTGGAGCAGAAAATTAGACAAGAGGCTAGAAACTGTAAATGGAATTTAATCTCCAGCACTAGGAAGTGGCTGGTCAGATCCCATCCCAGGTAAACTCCCACGGTGTGGTTGGATGTTTCCCTGGATGGGTTTTCACACCAGCGTGACCTGTCAGTGAACCTGCAGCTTTTCAGTAGGGCTTTGTGGTCTTAATTTGTGCCAGGCTGGTTTGATAACAGGGTCACATCAGGAGCTGTGTAAACACGGGTGTCTGCAGTCCACGATGTTTTCTGGAAGCACTTGGAATAGCATAAGACTGGCCTGTTTTGGTTAGCTGTTGGAATTTGGTTGCATCAGAACGTGGAGTTTTTGTGTAGCTGTGGAAGTCGGTGTCCTGAAGGGAGCTGGAAAATAAGAGCTGTGTTAGGGGGATAATTTGCTGGAGCTGATCCTTACTGAGATTTCCTTCGTAGGCTTTTTGTATTTTTGAATGACTCTGAATAGCTTTGGTGGAGAGATTTAGGAAAATGTCCAAGGCCAGGTTGCATAGGGCTTGGAGTGACCAGGTCTAGTGGAAGGTGTCCCTGCCCATGGCAAGGGGTTGGAATAAGATGGGATTTAAGGTCCCTTCCAACTCAAACCATTCACAGGGCTTGGCTTTTCGTGGTTTTTCATGCAAGTGCCCCAAAGGGAGTTTTTTAACTAATCCTTGGTTTTGCAGAAGGGGAACAAAAGGGTGGTTGATGGAAGTGCCTTGTGGAAGGAGGCTCTTGTTTGGCAGCTGAGCTGGGAGCTCATGGATGTGCTCAGCCCAGCACCCTCCGCACGCCGCTCCCGCGGGATGAATAGCTGGATGTCTGTCCTCCCAGGGAGATCAAACATGACCTTGTGCAACCATTCCAAAGCTGGCTTGTTTTGGGTTTTCCAGGCAGCATTGTGAGCAGTAGCTTTCTTTAAAAGGAAGCACAGGGGACGAGGAATGTACCAAATTAATGGCAGAACCTGCCCGTAAACACCAGGCGGGTTTTTATCGAGCATCGTGGAAATTTCATTCCTTCTTGAGTCACCTGCTCAGTCTCTCTTGTGTTGAGATTGTTATTATTATTTTTTAATCTCCTGCACTAGATAAAGGCATTAACTTAGAAGAAACCTGCACTGGTTTGCCACTGATCACTGCTGCAGAGAAATAGTGAGCAGTGAAATTGGATTGTGGCACACACAGACTCTTCTGCTCAAATGCAATTTAAAACAACAAAACCCACTTATTTTATTTTATTGTTTGTTTTTTTTTTTTTTCCTAAGGTTGCCATAAAAGTGGGGCTGTGTTCAGTTTGAGTCAGGTTTTGGCTCTGCTTGTGTGGTCACTGCCTTATTCTCAGAGCTCTGGAGTATAGTTCCTGATGCAGCCAAAGGCTGTTTAGAGCCTGTATTTGATATTTAGAAAATGTCATTCTAAATTCACAGATCAGGAAAGTTATCAGTTAAAGCATTTTACTAAAAATCAATGGGTTAAGAGTGGAGTATTAAGGGTTTTTTGATACCAGAGTAGTTATGGCTGAGACAGTTTTTAATCACATATTCTCAACTTTCTACAAATCTGTTTTGGCAGCTGCCAACCAACTGGATTAGCCAGCCCTGACTCAGCACTTCTGTCCCTGGTGAATATGAGTTGCTGCCACATATAAATGACCATAAAGCATCTGTCATATTGGGGGATTCCACTCTTCCTCTGCACATCAAAGCCTTCAGGCTGCCATGCCTGAACTGTGTGTACTCTTTTTTTTCCATGAGGAGGGTGTTTGGGATGGCATGGAACCAGCGCTGTCGAGTTTCTTCTAGTTCCTGTGGGGTTCCTCTCCTGGGAAATGACAGGCTTGTCTTTTAGGATTAA